ACACGTGAAAAGATTAAAAAAATAATAACATATCAGTATTATGTTAATTTTACATTGAAGTAATAATCAAAACGTCGTAACACAAGAAAAGTTCTACATTTTGACGCACAATTTTTTACTGTGTATATATACATATACATGTAGCCGGCGAGGCGCGGTGGATTTTCTTCTACACCCGCAATCGAGACGGAAGAGAGGAGATTCTCCTGAATCGCGAGAGAAAAAGTTGAGAGAGAAACGGCGAAGGGTAATAGGGGACGGAAGAAACGGAGACGAGGCGCTCGTACAGAAAAGGATGCACTGCGCAGGCATTGGCGGCGCGAGAGACCCAGGTGGGAGAGAATGTGCGGCTCTCGTCGCGAGTCAAAGAAAGACGGATATATCGAGCGATAGAGAGGGACCTACGAGACTCATGCTCCGATGGAGATAGTCTACGCTTGAAAGGAGTGAGAGGGAGAGAGAATGAGAGACGGAACAAGAGTTACATGCGCGTCGAAAGAAGACAGACGGCACGGATCGGCAATAGCAGAGACCGTACGATTGTGTGAGAAAGACAGAGAAAGAGAGAAAAAAGGGTGGAAAGAATGTTAATGTCAACTTTAAACCGCGACTGATAAAAGAAGATGACTCCACGCGACGGCAACTGGTGACTTTAGGGGCTAGAAAGAGAGAGAGCGTCTCGTGTTCGCTCGCGTGCAGTGTGCGGCACATAGACCGTGATTGAAACGAGACGGCGAGCTGCTGTGTGGGCGCGGGGGAGTGACGGAGGAGGAGCGAGAGAGACGGCGATAAAGAGGATCGCGGGGAAAGGATAGAGGGAGCCGCCGGGCGCCATACTGGCATCGTCCGTTCGTTCCGCACAGTACGCGCCCAGCGGCTACGCGGTGTCGTTGTCGCCGCGCCGTCATCGTACAATCATCGTCGTTTCCTTCGTCGTTAAACAGTTTTGGTGCGCGCAAACATTTTATTTTCTCTCCCGGTTTTGTGCGCCGACGCGTCGTCGGAGCGTCGCCCGGAATTGCATTTTCGTCCGCTGTCGCTCCGTTCGTTCTCTGCGTGCGTTTCCGCGCGAGGATACACGAGGGCGGCCAGAAAGTGTGACCGTCGAGTCGCCGGTCGGATTTTTTTTCACGACAAAGACGACTTGACTGTCGCCGTCGTCATCCCCACCTGTCGGGACGCATCTCTACGCACCGATACGAGGTAAGCACCAGACGGTGACACCGATGTGCGAGCAGCAACAACTGAGAGAGAAAGAGAAGAGAGAGAGAGAGAGAAAGAAGTTGATCGACGGCGGCGTGTTAAGGTTAGGTGACCGTCGCCGTCGTCGACTGCCGCGATGGATTGCGAGCGAGATTCCGTATCGAGAGCGCCTGGAGTTCGCGAGATTTACCTTGCGAGGGTTCTCGCTCCGTTCTCGCTCTCGTCGTGCAAGACGTGCTTTGCGTCGCGTCGCGTCGCCTCGCGCCGTGTCCTTTGCCGACACGGCGCGCCGCGTCGCTCTTACTTTCGTTCTCCGCCAACGCTCCGAATTCACGCGTGCCTGCTGCTCGAGCAGATGAGAGATTAGAACAATAGACGGTCAGAAATCGATGTTAAAACCTGCTCCCATGGGGACACAGAAAAAATTTACAGCTCCATTAACTTTCCGGCTCTAAAAGGGTTCACAAATTTAGTCACTTCGGAAAGATAATAACAGGTAGAAATATCTGAAATATCTTTTTTTTTTTTATCCTACAGGTAAAAAATACTGATAGATATTTCCCTTGTCAACGGTGATTCTTTAACTATCGTATTATCTACAAAAAAACAAATAATTTTTTAGTTCCTAATTTTTACTTTTTCCTGGTTCTTTAAAGATTCAATTCTTAACTCTCTTAAGTAGAATCAGTGCATTGCACTGAAAATCAGTAAATATTTACTGATTCAGTAGTTATAAGTCTTTCATTGAGTCAAATGGTTACTGATTTTTAGTGCAATGCACTGATTCTACTTAAGAGAGACGAAAAGATCATAAAATTCCAAAACTGATCTTTCGGTGTTCAGGCTCCAATTGTTTCGATAACTTTGTTTAAAAGGCTTTTCTACATGTGCTATCTACATGTGCGTAGATACATATTTCTTTTTCGAAATTGCGATTTCGAAGTTGCAAAACTAGATTACTTATTCGTTATCCTTTCGGAAAAACAAATGGGGGGACGATTAATGTTAGACGGAAATGTAATCTCAGGCTGCTTTTAATGGCGGGACGCTTTGGGGTGCAGATGTTCCTCGCGTTTTGCGAGGCTAATTTCGTCTCGACGGCGAATCTCGCACGCCGATTGTACGCGTGGGGGGGATTTCGCGGAACGGATGGAGAAGAAAGTGAGAGCAGCTAGGAGAGGCGAGTCGAAGAGTTAGGTCGGTTAGGAGCGAATCTCGGTGTTGAGAGAAGAAAGAGATTCTGATACAATATAATGCATAAGAAAAGAGAGACAGAGAGAAAAAAGAGAGAGAGAGAGAGAGAAAGAGAGCACAGAACCGGGAGAACTTTTTTGCTGCGCGCGCGCGGCCTGTGTCGCCGAAGCTGAAAGTTTACGCATAAAGTTGAACCGCGACTTTTTTCTGTAGAGAAAAATTAAAGCGCAAGGTGAAAAGACCGTTATAAAGTTAACAACGGCATTAACAAACTCCTTTTTAACCGAATTAATTCGATTCGACGATGTAATTTGAAGTCGCTGATCCGTATTGCGTTTGCAAACTCTTCTCGAGGAAAATTGACTGCGAATTGTGAGAGAAGCGTGCATATTTATCTTCACATGCATATACATCATCTGATGAATATGAAAATGTGACGGGAGAGAGAGTTATATCAACGATAATTAACTATTAACTTCAATCAGTGGCAATTTTTATTAATAGTTGCTTAATTGTCGAAACGTGGTAATAATGTCAGTATATAAAAATATAATGTGCCCCTACGCACGCAAGGTCTCTCACCACTTATACGGTTGAATTACACCTCAAAAGATTGTCTTGAAGGATTACTTATATTGCAACTTTTTGAATTTGTGTAACAAATTTTTGAACAAGCACTATCGTAGAATAATTCTGAAATAACTCGTTTTACCTTTATAGAAATAGGTACACAATATCTTTTGTGAAACCGTTCACTAGGAACAACCCACATACCGTCGAAGCATATTCCTAAAGTTCATGAGGAACATCTTACGCTTCTATGCCTCATCGATGATGTATAGCTGCAGACGTTCCTGCCGCTATAGAGAACAGAGCGACACACGAGTCGGTCGCCCGTCTTACATTACGGTCGTTTCCTCTCGCGCCCGCGGCATAAATTTCGAGTTCTGACTGCATTATGCATGCCGCGCGATGCACGAAATATTACCATAAGTGGTGGTACACTGCCGCCGCTCCGCGCGTACAAAGACGAATCGCTTTCCGCGTCAGCCGTCGCTCGCGCCGCGCCGCGAAAACGCATAAATTTTTAATCGCGGTCAAAAATTATGCCGCGCGCGCCCACCTCCCACCACGTTTCAGCGTTTTACATTTGACCGACGGTCCTCTTCTCGCGTAGAGAGAATTCGTCAACTTGACAAAGTTATGCGATAAGGAAATATTGGCAGTCGTGCTGTTGAGACGACGACGCATTTCCGTGTCACTTTAAACTTTAAACAAGTGTCTCCGCGACACTCTGCTGATTCAACTCTGCCATCGCAAAAGATCATGTTTATGATTAGGTATGCTCTTTTTGAGATTGTTGTGCTTTAGCACATTCTATATATTCAAATTCTAAAAAATAAGATATACTTCGCAGAAAGTCAATTGTGTGTGTACGTGTTAGCAAAGAAAAGCGGATTGTGATATTGGACCCGCTCGGAGCAGCTGATGTGTTTCTCTTCGTTCTTTCTTTTCGAGCAGGTTCGAATGAAATCGAACTCTTTGTTTGGTCGAAGAAAGAAGTCGGTGCTCTCGGTTCGGTCAGCTGTCAAACTTTTCTCGAGTTCGCCAATAGCGACGGAGTCTCCGCGCACTCCGCAATGTGACAAAGAGCCGCCCCCGACGCATTTCCGCAGTAAATCCATTATTCGTCTATGTCTCTTCGCTTTCCCGATCGACCGATGAAAAATTCGTAGACTTCATGCTTCTTGGTCAGAACTTGGAAATTGCGACGCCAGTCTCTTGCTTTTTAATACATGTAATTACAAAACTATTGGAAAAATTATGGAAGTTAAATATTTTTCATAAAAATTTTGCATACACAAGAATAGTTTTTTTGTGAGTTTTACATCTTCTCTTAAGTTGATAAAAAGTCTTATTTATTTTTGTTTTTTAATTTTTGTTTTTAGTTTTATTTTTTGTTAAATATAAATATATTAACGTCTTTTTTGTGCTTGTTCGTATTTGATTTTTTGTAAGTTTGATGTCTAGATTACTAAAGAAATTACTGACAATGAGACATTGCTGATTGACTCTTTATATGATTTGTGTGTGTGCGTGTGTGTGTGTGTGTGTGTACGTATATGCTGCCAACAAAATAATATCGCGTAATGCGATCGGCTCGAGCCCGCATGAAGCGTCATCGTAGTTTCTTTTACAGACCCATTCGTCCATCGATTCACTAATGCCGAGCACTGTTTTATCTTCCTACACATTTTATTCACAATAAACCCATTCCTTGATTTCTACTCGAATTTCTCCGATAAGATAAACGTCTCTCAGTGCATCTTTTGTTTCAAGTAGGGATAATCGATTTTTTATACGACAATTACATTTGCGATTTATCAGTCTCGAGATTAATGTCTGTCGACGATAAAAATGAATCTTTTTGACCTGACGCCTTATGTCCATCGAATTTAATCGGGAACCCTCGGCAAGATAATTAGGTTTATAAGCTCGAGAAAAATATTCCGAGAGGTACTTACGGAAATTTAACTACTCGACGAATTAAGGATTAATTACTCCGTTTGCTTTTGCTCGCGAGCTTGCCTCGTTAATTTCGATTTAACCGGGATGATTTTTTGCCTTTCGCGGAAAGGAGAGGTTCTCCTTACCGCGTAATATTCTTATCTCTTGCACAATTAACATTAATGAAAAGTCATCGGCATGCTGCCAGCTCTCTCACGCTCGTTCATTAAGTCTCATTAGAGGCATACTGACCTCGCCCGATCTTTCACAAGTTACATGGCGCGGATCGGGGGGAACCTCTTTGCACATACATATACCGCTTCTTCTGACGCGAGTGGCAATACATCATGTCGGGATTGGAGGTCCGATTTGTGAAAAGACTTCTAATCACGCTCGTGCCCGTTTTGCCATATAATATTCGACATACATACGTATTTTTTAATGAATGTTCGACATACATACATACGTATCTCGAGAGATATTCGTTTTGACGATTTTCGCTCACGAATTTGTAACAATTATTTTTGTTATTTTCTAATTAGAGATTTTTACGGACAGATAAATATGTCATTAAACAAATCTATTATTTACTTGTACTTTCTATAAATATATAACTGATAAATGTAAAACTATACATAAATAATATTAATATATAAATGTAAAACTATACATAAATGATATAATATAAAATACTTTGTAATTAATATAAATTACTTGATTATTTATATAATTTTAAATAGTATATAATTTATTATAATGACGCACTCACTTTTCGCTTATCTGCAAAACTGAATTAACGGTATTCACCATGTGTGTGTGTGTATGTTGGTTGCTTGAAAATTTTAACAAGACTCGGTTATATATTTTATGTCCTGGACGTTCCGGCTCACTTGGTGCAGCTTGTGTAATACGTTGCGAAATATGTTACATGAACAAAATAACTTCTTAAAAGCGCTTGTTTAATTCCGCGAGGAATTATGTCCCCTGTGCTACGGAAACTTTTCGTCGGCGCGCGATGTGCATCGTATTCTTTCCATAGCCTGCAGCAACTTTCGACGAGCCTGCAGGTTAATGGCATTTTCAGCGGCATTTACCGCTAACGGTGTCCTCTTGATAATGCCGTCCGCCCTAACGTTTTACGAAGTGGCTCGTGCATAGAAATTTATCGCTCGCTCTCTCCGAGAACGGTATAGAGAGCCTCCTTTGAACTGCTAGCGAAGTGATTGATGTGCGCGTTTTTACATCGATTGCAAAGAATCTCGGTGCGTTCCATTCGCCAGATATTCACTTTTTTCCTG